CACGAGAAGGCTAAGCTGCGCAGCGACCAGGACAAGGAAGCGCGAGAAGGCTAAAACTGCGCAGCGACCTGGACAAAGACGGCTGGAATTCCACGACGACCGCGGCGTTCAGCTCGGGGAAGTCGGAGACTGGCACGAGTGGTGGTGAGCTGGTGGCGGCAAAACGCCACCATCAGACGATGACGTTCGAGGGCGCGAGGGCCCTGCCGAAAAAAAAAAGAAGGCCAGGGCCCGTTCAAAAGGTTTGCGGCCATGGCGTTCCACTCCAAAGCGGGCAACTGCATCGTGATTTCTGCGTGCATGTCGCCGAATATATACGGCGACTCTCCCCACCGGGCGAAGCTGGCAGCCTTGGCGGGGCCACTGCGAACGCTGGGCGAGCCGTGGGTCGTCGCGGCGAACTGGAACCTGGCACCAGACGGGCTGCAGGCGCTGGGATTCCCTGGATGCGTGGGAGACCGCATCGCGCTGCCGAAGAACACGCGGGTGACATGCACCAAGGGGGAGGGGTCCTTGATAGACGACTGTCTGATGCGTGAGGATGTTCCACCGATGGTCTCGGTGCAGGCTGTGTTGAAGGCGCCGTGGAAAGTGCACTGCGGGCTGGATAGGAAGGTCAAAGGGTCCGACGAGGAATGGTGGATGCAGACGCTGGTGACACAGCGCACGATGCCTCAAGTGACTCGCCCAAAACCCACGCCCCGACCCTAGGAGCAAAACCTCCAAGCGCAAGCAGTTGCGGACGCAGCAGCGGAGGCAGAGGCTGGACACGGAGCTCCAGGAGATGTCCGAGGAGCTGCACGATGATGAGTTGGAGCGCCAAGATGATGTTTTGGTTGACGCACGAGCCTGAAGCCACTCGCCGACAGCTGCCTGCAACGCCACAGGCGGACAAATCCTGCCCCCCCTGTGGACTCCAGAGGGACAAACAAATGTCGCGAACTCGGTGAGCGGGCGATTGTCCGCCACTGCTTAGGAGAACGCTCTCCCAACAAAACGTGGCTCTGTTCCCTCCCGCTTGCTTGTTTTTGCTCCGCCTCCAGTGTCGCAGACTCCGCCACCCCGCACGGGGCAGTGAGAGAAAGCGGCAGCAACATAAATAACATCAATGAGCGTCATAGAGGAGGCGCCCGACATACTGACTGCTAAAACCAAACCTCTGGCGAGAAAACGTTGTAGCCGCGCCAGCATGACAGGTGAGTCGCCGCGCCTGACCTCGTGGGCGAAGCAGCTGCGATGGCCGAGAGCGTGCTGCGCCCCGGCGACTCCATCTGCTGAGCAACCGTTGCACGTCCATGCCCTGCGCGGAGTCCGTCGCAGCGCGTCGCAGGTAGTTGGTAGTGCGGTAGACAGCGTGCACAGCCAGCGCCGTTCTGACATTGTCTTCGTCGCGAGTATCTGTCTCCATCAGGAAGAAAGAACACCTGGAAAGCTCGGCAAGGGATCCCAAGCCCGAGGGTCTTGCCGCTCGATCGAAATCCCGCACCGCTGAGCAGGCCGAGTAATGTTCCAGACAGTCCTCTCCGCGTTCGCAGCCGAGCAAGCAGCTGCCGAGAGCGCCCTGGATGGAGGCGTCTGCATGGCGCATGCGGCGGCGAGTGGTCCATCCATTGAAGACAGCACGGAGATATGCCGCGGCCACACGAGGCGGGCGGCATTTCTGCACTAGCCCAAAGTTTGCGCGGATCCTCGCCGAATTGTTAGCTGCATCGCCTGGGAAACTCCATCTGGAGATCTTGTGCTGAAGCCGCTGATCCCGGTCGCCGCTCTTGGCCCTGATCAGAGACACAGCTACCGCTTGAAATGTCAAACTCTTCTGCCGGGGAGGAGCAGCGGCGACTGTCCGTCGAACCGCAGCGCGGGTCATGCCCAAGCGCCCGAGTTTTTCCTCCGCCCGGGCTAAGATAGCGAAGAACGAGTTCTGATGCCATCTCCCGAAGGGCCCCTGCAGCACGGCATCGCCCAAGGAAGAAAGCTCCGCGCAGCGATCATAACAATCAGGGGCAACGGTCTCCACCACCCGGAGTTTGGCGGCTTGGGCGAGACCTGCAGGGTTCGTGAATGAGCACGGAAACCCAAACTCCTCCTTCAGAGAGCACAAATCAGCAGCCGTAGCCCAGTTGCCGGGGCCAGGCACGAGGCGTCTCAGAACCCACGAGAAAGTATCCGCAAAATCCGCCGGCAACTCTTGCAATTGCATCACGTGCGAAAGGACAGAGCAGATGAACACGTTGAAAGCGATTGCCCACACATTTAACCGAGTTGTGCTTGGACCACAGAAGCACACGCTTGTTGGATTTCTCCAACGGCTTAAACCACGACTCACTGCACGCTCCCAAGCCGATCCAGAATCCCAGATACTTCCCCTGCGTCGCAATGATGATGCCCCGCCAGGAGGGCGCCAGCTCTGTGATCAAGTTTCGCAAGCCTCTCTCGGAGCTGTGCTTCCAGAGTGGGATGAACACGGTTTCCTTGACGTTCAGGGCCAACCGAGAAATCGACTCGAACTCGGCAAACAGCTTGGCGAACACTGGGACTACCTTTACATAATCGTTCACAACAGCCGCTTTGTCATCCGCGAAAGCTCGAACGACTTCATGACCATGTAGATTGTCTGCGATTTGACGCAGCAGAATGTCTGCGCATATGGCAAACAACAGCGGTGAAAGCGGGCGCCCCTGTCTCACCCCACTGCTGACGACGTTGCTATCAAAATATTCGCTCCCAACTCTGGTCTTGCGCATGTTCTGGGTATATAATGTTTGCAGCATGCGTGCGTACTGAGGCGGAAAACCGATACCCTCGAGGACTTCCCACATGAATGTGCGATCCATGCTGGGAAAGCATGGATCACTCAAGTTGGCCGGAAGCCTCGCGATGAAGATAAGCATGGAGAACGACGACATCCGTATCTTTTTCGAGCCGGGCTGGGAGGAACAGTTCCAGGAGGGGGAGTGGAAGGAGGTAGTGAAGGACTCCAGGGAGAAGCTCAAGCGCAGCTTCAGCAAGGGGGCGGGCGAAGGAAAACCGTGACACTAGGGCCCCCCCCGCGCGGCTACATGTTTCACAACCAGTCCTGCACGCGATTCGCATGCGATTTTCGAGATTTTCTGCAAAAGCGCAAGAACCAATTCTCCGACACGTTTGTTGAATATGCTTGCAGAGCTGAACGGGGTCTTCGGGGACATCATTGGCTTCGGTGAAACTCGGGCTGCTGATGGCGATGAGATTTTGCCTGGCGGGCGCCGTTTGGTATCGAGCGCAGACGCAACTCTGAAACATCTTGGCGTGTCTGTTCTTCTCCACGCGCGCCTCGCCGACAAAGCCACGAAGATCAATATGTATTCTGGCAGACGCATTGTGGTTGACGTTGGCGACCACAACGGGCAACGCTTCAGGGTAGTTTGTGTGCATGCCCCCACGCGCCGGGTATTCAAGGGCAGATTTAGATGAGTTCTATTCGGGGCTGCGAGCTTTGATGGTAGAGAAATCTCGCCAGAAGCGGCACGCTATCCTGGTTGGCGATTTCAGCTCAGTTCTGCACTGTGGCGTTCGTGGGAACATCCTTTCTGGGTTCGCATCGGGCAACGTCCTGCGCGTGACAAACGATGACGACATGGATTGGGATGCGCAGTAGACATTTCAAAGCATTGTGGGACATACGCGCAAAATCGATAACATATGTTTCTCATATTCGCTGCAGTTGTCTGTTTCGGCTGCCACGAACGAGCTCGATTGTGGGTCTGACCATCGCGCGGTTTATGCGTCATTTCTGATCCCTCGCACAGACGCCGTGGCGCGAAGAAACAGGTCGGCGACGAAATGGGTGGGTTCTTCGACGCATGAGTCAAAGCTAGAATCTCTGCTGGAAGAGTCTGTGGATCCGCCGCGGCATGAACTGCAAGACGCAGCGCGAGAAGCAGCGTGCACTTCCGGCGCCATCGGGGCCCGGCAGGCGGACAGACACCGGGGCACGCCAGAGCTCAAAGACTTGAGGAAGCAACGGCAATATTGCAACCATCGTTCGGAACGGGCTGCACCGTCGAAGGAAATCGCCAAGAAGACGAGGAAGGCCTTGCGGCGCTGCCAGACGCAGCGGCTGGAAGAGCAGCTTACACAACGCCGTGACCTCCACCAACTCCATAGGATAGTGGCCGAGCGTAAACAACGCAAGATGGCGATCAAGCCGAAGCCCGAAGATTTCGCAAGCATGCTTGGTGAGTTGCGCGCTTCAGACCAGACTCCGGCAGACAGGGGGGGGGGGGGGGGGGGGCGCGCTATTATTGCAAGAGATTGAATGTTTTACGCTGTCTGAATTGGACCACGCATTGAAAGCTTTGTCCAAGGGCAAGTGCGCTGATAAGCGCGGGGTTGCTTTGGAAATGCTTTCGCAAGGTGGCCAAACCATTCGAACCATGCTGCCGCGGAAGTATAACGAAGTGTTGCGACGAGGAGCATTTCCGGACGATCGGGGCGAGCTTGTCTTTGTCATGTTGCCCAAAAGTGGAGATTTAATGGGCGCGCACAACTGGCGGCCGGTTGCTATACTTGACGTTGTATGCAAAATCTTCGCCACGATGCTCCATAACCGGCTACTCCCTTATCTGGATCCACAAATTTCAGACGAGCAGATGGGTTCCCGGACTGCTTGCGGCGTAGACGAGACTTTGATGGTCTTCGAGCGCATTGTCGGGGCATCCCCGGAATGGAACTACTTCCCGCTCTGGGCGCCGAGCGTGGACTTGCGCAAGGCTTTCGGCACGCTCGAACACAGCGCCTTATTGGACTCGCTGACAGAGCTCGGACTGCCAGACAAGTATTTGGCATTACTAAAGTGTATTTATGCAGACACGGTGGGCACTGTCGACGGCGTCTCGTTCTCTATCCGCCGTGGAGTTAGACGGGGAGACATATTGAGTCCGCTTCTGTTCAACGCAGCAACTGAAGTTATCGTGCGCCGGTGGAAGATGCGTTTGCGTGCTAAGCACGGTTTCCACCTTTCTGTTGACCCCTCGGATAGGCTGACAAACGCTTGCTTTGCGGATGACCTCATACTGTTTGCAAAGTCTCTTCGAGGTGGAGGACGTGGCCGCGCTGCTCGTGGAAGAGTTTGCCCGCGCGGGGCTTGTTGCAAATGCCTCGAAGACGAAGCTCTTGACAACGGATAGTGCTGTTTCTTCGGGGCAAACGCCCTTGCTTGTAGATCTCGCGGGCATGTGGAGGTCATCAAAACAGGCTCTTCTCATAAGTACATTGGAAAGTCGTTGCCGGGAGATCTGGCCTCGAGGAGGCAGAGAAATCTAGATCGTCGCCTGGCGCGCGCATGGATGCGATTCCACGAGATGGGCCACGCTTTGCTGAACCACAAGATCCCAGTCAACTTGCGTCTGAGATTATTCAATTCTGTAGTGAGCCAACCGTCATGTACAGTCTTTCGCCAAACCCGCTGACATCATCGCAGCTGGAGAGACTCGACGGGGCACAACGAAAGATGATGAGTCGCTTTGTGGGCTGGTTGAGGCACGACGAAGAGGACTGGCATGAGACAGGGCATCGCATGAAAGTAAAACTGAAGAGCGCCTGGGAGAATACCCGCGCGGCGGTCTGGAGCCAAGCGCGAGACAAGCAACGGCGAGGGTTGCTTGAGAAAGTGATCAAACGGCAGGACGGGAGAGTCTGTCGCGCGCGTCGCTGGTCGGCACGGCCAACTGCGCCGGCCCATCCTGTTTACAGGGGGCGAGGGCGTCCAGCATGCAGGTGGACGAACGGCGTCTGAGAGATGGCATTGTCGCCTGTGCATGTTTGTCAGTATTTGTATGTGCTTGTGTGTGGTCGTTGTGTCTCGGCGTGTACCATGTGAACTTTGCATGATATTTGTTCCTCCCGTGTCCTGTGCAGTACCGGCTTCATAGCCGTGCGGGATCTGTCTGTCTGTCTGTGCGCTGGGAAAAGCAGCGCGAAAATCGAAGGGGAGGATTTCCCCCCGAGAGAAAGTCACAGAGATCTTCTGCGCCACAAAGTCCACGTCCAGCACGTTGCGTAACATTTGCCGTCCTTGGATAAAGCCTCTCTGAGGCGCGGAGACCCATGGCGCCGCCGATCTCTCAAGCGCGACTCTGAAGAAAGACGCAAGGACGCGGTTGCTGGCGTCGGCGATGGAAAGGGGGCGGGTGTTACCGGCGTCGTAAAACTCTTCGCCTGTCGACGTCAACGTGCCCGAAACTTTCGGCAGACAAATCAAGTGAGCCAGGTTGAAATCGTCCGGTGGCGCAGCTTCTCCACGCAGCATGAGCAACGTAAGGTCTAAGAACAGTGGCGCCAATATGCCACGAAACATCGAGAATGCAGCGAAAAGGAATTCCGTCTGGGCCCGGAGAAGAGCTCGGAAGGCTTGCCAAAACACCGTCTACATCATCGATCGTTGGAATCAGATTTTCGAGGGTTGCGTGTAAGCTGCCCTTCACTTTGTCGATCCAGCGCCGCCTCAGATTCCTGTTTGTCTGCTGCTCAGCGAAAACACTTTGCCGATGCTCCGTCAGAATTCGAGCCGCCTCCTGGGGTTCCGTGGCAACCGAAACTGTGGGCGGATCCCTGACTGCCTGCGCCGACCCAGAGGATCCCGGCATCAGCTTGGAGAGGGAAGAAACAATATTCGATTTGCGTTGCTCGTACACGTCCTCTGGAAGGTTACCTCGGTACCGTCATGAATCATCCATCCTGTCGTTTGCAACTGCTGGTGAAAATTCGAGGGCGTGATCCTGGAGAAATCGAAACTCCCGATGCGCAGGCGCAAGTGGAGCCGCAGGTACCGAACAAAGCCGGGGATAAACAGCATGTAGCCGCTCCCTGATAACCAAATTCCCAGTGAAGGCAGCACGCAAGAAGCCAATGGTGGCAGATAGCTTCTCCTCGTTGTTGTCAGCGATCCGCTCACGATGTGCTTTCATTGTGTCTCGACTCGTGCGGTGGATAATTCTCTTCAGCTGTGCAAGTTTGAGGAAAGACGACGTGGTCGCACACTCCAAGCATGGCGTGGCCCGAGAAACCAGCTTGTCTCGAACCGCAGGGTCGCCGATGACCCGGGAGGGAAACGACGTCCGCGACCTGTTCCAGCGAGGCCGGATACCAAAAGCTACAGGCCCGTGATCGGATAAACCGCGGGGCAGGTCCAGAGTGCAGCAGAACGAATCGTCGATGAGGAGGTTGCTCGGGTGGATGTCGGAATAAACCAGGTCCAATCGGGAACGTACCGAGGAGCTCTCGAATGTGAAGTTCTCCTGCTCCCACTCCAAAGCCCCTTTGCTTCCCAAACGCGCCGCCCATTCCGCAGCAACTGACCGATCTACGCTCCACTGCCCGTTCCTCTTGTTGTACCGGTCGCCTGCTGAAAATACAAAGTTCCAATCTCCCATCAAAAGGTTTTGACCCCCAGCACGCAAATACGAAGATACCAACCTGTTAAGGAAGATTTGCCTCACAGAGTCGTTCGGGTCGAAATAACAGATATAGATATGTAGCGCCCCGCGGGCGCCGCGCAAGTCTAGGACAGCCAAGCGGCCCGCCTCCAGAACAGCCCAAGTCCTCTCCTCGAACTTGTCCACGAAGGACTTCTTAAGGAGAAGCGCAATGCCACCACTTCGTTGATCGATGCAAGACCTGAAGTACAAACTGCCACTCCGGAGGTGATCTCTGACTGTGGCTTTCGGCTCTATGGTTTCTCTGGTCTCTGTAATACCAACAAAATCATAACGATCCAAAGATGAGCCGAGCACGCCCTTCGCCGTCACGGAGGAGGTGTGGGCGCTGGGTGCCGACAGGCCACTCTGCTAGTATACCGAGCCGATGCAAGACCTGGACGAGCACGTGGTGTACGACGGCAAGATGCGACAGGAACAGATCATCTTGGCGAAGTATGGCCACTGGGTGACCCAGATGGAGGAGGCCACCCTGCACGCCCAAGAGGTGCCCGAGGAGGATGGTGACCGACATCGAGGATGCAGCGGAGGCTGCTCCATCCACTGGAAGAATATGCAACCCACGCCTGGCAGGGTGCACATGCGGAACCACAAGGTGGAGAGCATGGCGTATATGGTGAGTATGATGAATCGTTACGGCACCCTGGCGGAAAGCAGGCGGGGCGAGCACCAGCGCGGCAGGCTGGCGCAGCAGATTGTCCTGACGGACATGGAGAGCCAGGGCGCGCTGCAGTACTTCGAAGAGAACCAGCGGGGCGCCGACATCCAGCAGTGAAAGCTGAAGGTCGAGAACTGGATGCAGCTGGACAGGGCCCAGCGGCAGCAGCTCTTGGAGGACACTGAGGTGCTGGCGACGATCGGCCACGCCCGTGAAATGGGCGAGTCCAGGAGAACATGCACGAAGTGAGCGTAGACGGCGTGGAAGGAGCATGCAAGCTTCCTCCATCAGCACGCGAAGGACCCCAGGGCGATGCTGCAGGAGATCGTGGACGGAGAGACAGTGCATAGCCAGCCCAGCGCACGCTGGAGGTGGCGAAGCTCAGCCAGGCGATTGCCACGGTCGGAATCAACAAGGCGCACGGGGTCGATGCCATAGGATCCCTGGACGTGCAGCGGCTGCCCATGACGGCGACGCAGGAGATGACAGACATCGCCAGCGCCTGCGAGGAGGCAGGCTGCTGGCCACGCCAGTGCATGACGGTGCTGGCGGCGGCAGTGCCCAAGCCCGCTGGAGGCGACAGGGTCCTGGGCAGGCCCCGGTGCTGCCCGAGGCCTGGGGCAAGGCCCGCGGGTCCAGGCGTGTATGTGGACGGAGGAGCTGGGGGCCTTCTGGGACGGAGCCACCAAAGGCTCGTCCTCGCCGCGGGCGGCCCTGCACCGCGCGGTGCTGGACGAGGCGGGGCGCGAGCTGGGCGCGACCTCGGCGACGCTCCCCTGTGATCTCCAGACCCTCTATGACACCATCAGCCTGGCGACGCTGATGGACCTGGCGGTGCAGGTGCGGCACCCAGCCATCGCGGTCGCGATGGCCTCCCCCCTCCCTCCTCCCCTCCCTCCTCCCCTGGGGCCCGAGAGCGCCCCCCTGCCCCCCCCCGGGGCGCCGAACTCGTGAGACTACTGCCGATTCTAGTTACCAGTGTTGCCGCGACGCCCCCAGGAGAGCACAGAAACGTCGCGCTTCGTCCACCCTCGAGCCCAGACCCCCCCCGAGCCCCTTGAGGGGGCCCACACCTCCTGAACGGGAGGGCTGGCATGAGGGAAGAGGGGTCCGGGGTCCTGGTGGAAACAGGCCCTGGGCCCCGGGGCCGTCGTCTGGACAACATCTGGAATCCCAGGCCTTCCACTGACGGCCCTGGGGCCCAGGGAGGGCCCTGGGGAGCAGGAACAGTAGCATCGCATCGCTGGCTCGGACCGGAGCGTGCATCGGCTGATCCCTGGAGGCCGAAAACGGCCCCAGATTTCTTCGTCGTGCTTTTTCCCCGACGCGAGGACGTCAGGGACGGCGGCGTCGACAGCGACGCCCACTTCGGCGGCAACTCATGGGGGCCTCTCATGCCATCTTGCTGGCTCTTGGGAATCGACGCTAGCCGACGCTAAATCTTCGCTCCATCGCTCTCTCTCTCTCTCTCTCTCTCTCTCTCTCTCTCTCTCATCGATTACCACAGCTGGGGCGCGCTAGTGCTCTCTAAAGCTGGAATTTCGAGGACGTAGTTATACTCGGCGGCGCGCCCCCGTGGGGAAGCGAGAGAGGGAGATGGCCTTCTCAAGGGCGGCGGGGCTTCTCAGAAACTCCCAGCCTTCTGAGACGTTCTCTGCGTCTCGGGGGAAGGCTCGGGAAACTCCTCAGAAGGTCCGAGGCCTCCAGAGCCTCGCCTCGCCCCTTCTCACCTCCCTCCCAGGCTCGCCGCCGACATGCAAGGCTCCCGTGAATTGCTACCGAGGCCCACGGCGGAGGCAGCGGCGGCACTCCTGCCAAGGCCCAGCCCGGAGGGCAGCCACGCCGCCGGGCCGGCGAGGGCCGGCATCGGGGCGCGCGCTCACGGGGCTGCGGGCGGCATCTCGTGCGGCCGGCGCTGGGCGCTGGGCGCTCGGCGGCGTCGCAGGTCGCCGCCGCAATCGTCGTCGCCGTCGCCGTCGTGAGCGTGGTCGTTGTCGTGGTGTTGGCGGCAGAAGCCCTGAGAGGTCCTGGCGTTCGGCATTTGTTTCGGGCTTCGCGTGTTCGCACAGTTTCGGGCATGGAACCCTCGCAGATTGGTGTGACTAGAAAAGTACCGCGGAAAAATGGGGACTGGGGCTCTGGTCGTGGTTTCTCACGATGCAGGGACCTTTTCGCGCTGTCGGATCTCAGGGGACGTCCCAACCCTCCTTGATCCTCCCTCCTCCCCGATCCTCCCACCTCCTCCTCGATCCTACTCCTTGGGCGGCGTATAAACAATGCTACGGACTGCGATTTGAGCGTAGCGCTACATACCTGAGGCCCAAATGGGCCCCAGACAGCATCGCCGAGCCGATCCAATCCAATCCCCGACTCCCCAAAGGATGAGGAGGGGACAAGGGACCCCCCTTGAAACTGCCTGAACCCAGCTCCTGTCCCCCGCAACACGGGGGTAATTAGGAGGAGGGGGGAGGGCTTCTTACGAGGCTGCTTCTCAGAAGACGCTAGCCCTACATGAAAGGAGAAGGCCCGCGCCTTCACAGAAGCAGGGGTGTGTCTGAGAAACCCTCGCCCCTCCCATTACCCCCCTTGTGCCCCTCGGCCGACGCACGTTGATCGACAGCCGGCAGGCACCTCCGCCGCCCCTCCCCCAGGGAGGGCGGCTCCCCCGGGGGAATGGCCAGTCGTCTAAAACCGCGGCCACTCCCAGGGGGGAGGGGTCTGCCGGCCAGGGCCTATAGACTCCGATACGCGGGAGCGCAGCCAGAAATGCGAACCCTGCTCCTGCCCCGCTCTGGGGGATCCAGACACGGTTCAATCCAGACCTGGGCCAGTCGGGCCTTGCAAAATCGTGCAAGATCATGCACTATATTGCACCCAAGCCCGGGTCAGTGCACCCCTGGCCCTGCAGGATCCTGCAACATACGGCGCTCTGGCTGGCCCCCGTTTGCATCGACCCCCGTCTCTTGAGCCCCGACGCTCGAGCCCCCGCTCGGCGCTGGCAGTCGGCTCCAAGCAGGGCGCGCGGGGGCGGCTCGGGGACCGCTTGCCCGGCGGCAGGCGCTCGGAGGGCGGTTCGCGGGCCTCGCCCCCCCGCTGGACCAGCCCCGTCGGGTCGGACGTGTGGGGGGGGGGCGTGGCATAGGGATGGTTATCAAATCAAGTAAGGTGACGATGACGATGACGATGACGACAACGATGACGATGGTGATGGCGATGACGGTGGCGATGAAGATGTCGATGGCGATGATGAGGATGACGATGGCGACGACGACGGCGATGATGATGATGATGATGATGATGATGATGATGATGATGATGATGATGATGATGATGATACGTACTATGACGATGATGGTGATGCTGATGGTGAAGATGCTGCCAATGGTGAAGATGCTGACGATGACGACGACGGTAATGATGATGATGAGGGCGACGGTGGGAAAGATGATCAATGATGACCATGGTGATGACGATGATGACGACAACGACGACGATGATGAATCTTCTGACGGCGACCATGATGACCATGGCGATGACGATGATGATGATGATGATGATGATGATGACGATGATGATGATGAAGAAGAGATGATGCTGGCGATGACGGTGATGACGACGATGACGATGATGACGACGATGATGATGATGCTGATGGCGACGCTGAGGATGATAAAGTTGTTGAAGTTGATGATGATAATGATGATGGTGGCGATGATGATGATGGCGGTGGTGATGACGAAGGTGATGGTGATGAAGACGGCGGTGACGATGCCGACGGTGACGATGACGATGCTGTTGATGGTGATGATGACGACGGCAATGACAATGACAATGATGATGGTGATTATCGTGATGGTAAAGGTGATGGCGAAGTTTTTGCTGATGGCGACGATGATGATGACGATGCAGGTAGTGATTGCGATGATGATGACGGTGGTGGTTGTGCTGGTGATGATGGTGACGTTGGTTCTGATGGTGGCAATGCGGATGGTGATATTGATGGTGGTGACGATGATTGGCACGAGCTGAAATCAACGCTGTGAATGATGATGGTGGCGACGTTGATAATGATAACGGTGATGGTCGCACGCAGCTTGGCGAGCCACGTGTCTCTGTCCCAGGCGGCAAGCGAGCGGGCCGCTGCAGCCAGCGCCTCAACGCTTGCGTTCTAGAGTCGGCCGCTCACGAATAGCACGGCGAAAATAGCACTAATCCGGAAATCGGTTCTGGTCCCTTCGGTTATGTTTGTAATGTCTTGGAGCGAGAACGTTGCCATTCGAGGGTGAATTGTGCTATGTTACTCGCGTATGCGAATATTCTCGACTCTGTCGGTGAAAGGTAGCCCTGGCGGCGAGGGAAGGGGACCCCCCTGACGCGTGCTGCGCGAGCCGCGTGCTATGCGGGCCGGTCCGCCGAGACCAAGCAAGGAGGGGGCAACGGGGAGGGGGGGGGAAGGGGGGGAGAGGGAGGAGGGGGAGGAGGGGGGAGGAGGAAGAGGCACCTGTTGGCCACGTCGCATCGAAAGCTGGCCCCCGGGCATTTCTGACGAGGGTAAAGAGCCGCACTGATGGCCGCACTCGAGAGGAAGAGGAGGAGGTCGAGGAGGAGAAGGACGAGGAGGGAAAGGCGGAGAGACGCGGGGCCAGCATGGCACAGGTCAGCAGGATTGGGGGGCATCTCCCCAGAAGGAGGAGGTTACATGGAAAGGGGCTAGGAGGGGGATGGGGAGGGGGAGCGGGGGAGGAGGAGGAAGAGGACGAGGAGGAGGAGGAGGAGGAGAGGAGGAGGAGGAGAGGAGGAGGAGGATGGGGAAGAGGAGGAGGAGAGGAGGTGGAGGAGGAGAATGACGAGGAGGGAAATGAGGAGACACGCGGGACGAACGCAGGACAGGTCAGCAGGATTGGGGGTGTCGCCCCTGAAAGAGGAGGTTCGGTGGAAAGGGGCTAAGAGGAGGAAGCGGAGGAGGAGGAGGAGAAGAAGAAGGAGGAGGAGGAGGAAGAGGAGGAGAAGGAGGAAGAGAGGAGGAGGTGGAGGTGGAGAAGGACGAGGAGGGAGAGGAGGAGAAACGCGGGACCAACGTAGCACAAATCAGCAGGAATGGGGACGCCGCCCCTGAAAGAAGTGGTTCGATGGAAAGGGGCCAAGAGCAGGGGGAGAAGGAGGAGGGGGGGGAGGAGGAGGTGGAGGACGAGGACCCATGCTGAGAAACGCCCTGTTTGCCCCCCAGGCTGCCGTGGGTTCCTCGGGTTTCGACTGTTTGGCCATGGCAAGCATGGCGCTCCCACGCCAAAGAATCAATGGGCGTCCTGGGGTCTCAGGGTCGGGTTTCTGCTGCAAGGTTTCTTCTGGTCGAACACCCACTGCATCTGTCCTTCGCTCTGGGAGCAAGGGGGGGGACCCGAAGAAAGGACTCGCGCGTCGAGAGTGGCGCGGCACGGGTGCACGGTGCAAGGGCGGGGACGGAGAGGAGGAGGCACGCGGGGCCAACATAGAATAGGCCAGCAGGACTGGGGGCACCGAAAGCAATGGTGGAAATGTCCCCGTTCCCTGCGCCCGTTGCTGCTACTCCACCTCTACCTCCGCGCCCGCCGGCCCCCCTCCTTCCCCCAGCTCTCAGTCTCTGCCTCAAGTCATGGAGGAGGGGCGAGGACAGCGCAGCGCGCATATAGCACGGGACAGGGGGCGGGATGAGCACGCTGAAACTAGGACAGGGGCCCTTCTCGACCTCCCCGGAACACAAATTACGCTACCGAGGAACCCCACATACTTTACATCATTGCATCATTGCTGCGTGCACTACGCCGCCACTACCATCGCCGCCACCACGAGCCCGACGAGCCAGCCAGCGCCACGGCCAGCACCGTCCACGGATAGCGGCCGCGGTCAGTGACCACACCGCGCGCACCCACGGTGGCGTCAAGAATGCGCCGCGCCTGCTAAGGCAAGGGCGACCGTCACGGATAGCGGCCGCGCTCAGAGACCACCCCATGCGCACCCCCTGCGGCGTCGAGAAGACGCCGCGCCTGCCGTGCCCTGGGCGACCGCCACGGATAACGCCACGCCTGCTGTGCCCTGGACGACCGTCACGCATAGCGGCCGCCCCCAAGGACCACCCCGTGCGCACCCCCTATGGTGTCGAGAATTCGCCACGCCTGCTATGCCCTGGACAACCGTCACGCATAGTGGCCGCCCTCAGGGATCGCCCCCTGCGCACCTCCTGTTAGCGCGCATGTGTTGCGTGGTGTGCGTGTCATGTGTGTTTTTTTTTGTTGTGTGTGTGTGTGTGTGTTTGCCTGCGCTTGTGTGCTGTGCTGTGTTGTGCAGTGTTGTCCTGTGCTGAGCTGTGCTGAGCTGAGGTGTGCTGTGCTGTGCTGTGCTGTGCTGTGCTGTGTTGTGTTGTGCTGAGCTGGTCTGTGCTGTGCTGTGCAGTGCTGAGCTGCGCTGTGCAGCGCTGTGCTGAGATGAGCTCTGCTGTGCTGTGCCGTGCCGTGCTGAGGTGAGCTTTCCTGAGCTGTAAATAATGTGTCTAACATCGCACTGTAATGCTTTTGGAGGGCATCAAGACGGCCACAAAGCGCCCCAAACGAACCCCAATATGACTCCCAGGGTCGCCCTCGAGACGGCCCCAACATGTGGTTTCGCCTGAGATTTCCTCACAACAATGATATGTTCGCAACATCGTTATTACCAAAAACATGCGCTAACTCTTAGGGTTTATTCTGCCGTGTTCCTGGTCTGTGTCTGCCGTGCTCCTTCGCTCTTGGGGCCTCTTCTGCCGTGCTCCTTCGCTCTTGGGGTCTATTCCGCCGTGATCATGTTTTTTGTCCTGCCGTGCTCCTTCGCTCATGGGGCCTATTATTCTGCCGT